CCAGCCATGGCTGGCAGGCTGGCAGCAGCAAGTCCACAAACTGCACCAGAAACTGAAGGGCGAGCTCTGGCTTCATGTTGCCACCTGCAGCGGCGTCCCCGAAGGGAAGCACCGACACAGATGGGCGCAGAGAAAAACGCTTTGCTGTCCCTCAGCGAGGTAGGCAAGCAAGCAGAAAAGCTGAGAACCGGCTGTCCAGGGGGGTCCCTTTAAGCACGAGCCTCAGATAGCCTCAGACAGCAGCCACACAAAGCAACTACTGACCTGATGCCCTGCCAGAACCGGTTTCAGCCGCCCTTAAATGCACCCCTGTGTCCAATCAGTGTGGACGCGCTAGTTCGAATTAGCAAAACGCTAATTCGAACTAGTTTTTAGTTCTAGATGCGCTAGTTCGAATTAGCTTAGTTCGAATTAACTCATTCAAACTAAGTTAGTTCGAATTAGCGCTGTAGTGTAGACATACCCTTACCTTGTATCTCTCCTACCCTAGGAACAACATGTCTAAAACAACACTGTAGATAATGAACAAGATTATAAAATCACTAGCCTGTAAATGAGTTTGGAAGATGACTTCTTTACCTGTTACCATTTGATGTGGACATATTTAAATTTAAATGCTGTTCCTTACCATCCTGTGAGTGTGCAGGTCACCAAATGCTGCATATTAGTGAAGTTATACTGCCCAAATGGTGAGAGCTGGAGAAACTGAACTTCCTATGCATCCCAAAGCATAGCTCCCTGGAGGCTCCATCTGTGTCAGAGAGAAATAGTCTTTGAGACAAGCCATGGGCATGACCATGGGGATAATCATTCTTCTCTAGAGATGAGGAGTTCAATTAGCTAAGGAGGGTAACAGAGCTCAAAGGCTGTTGCAGAGCATCTGAATGTAACTCTGCTGATGCTCTATAGCTTGTGAAGGAGGATCCCATCTGCCAGTTCCCCACAGGCACCTCTGCACAAATTCTATTTATTTAGGCTTTGCCTTGGGACAAAGGATTTGATCAAAAGCTGGAGTCTATGGTTAGGAGCGGTGATAAGAAACTAACTTGCTCTCCAGTTCTTGTTTCCATGGGAGAATTTTAAATGAATCACTTTAATGTGTTTTTCAAGCTTCACAGCTAATGTATTGTACTGTATTTGAATGTTATTACTGTTAGTTAAATAACCACTAGAAGAGAATGCTTATAGTTTGCTATAAATACTGTTTTAACAAATGCCTTTCTTAAACAAAAAGACATAAATTGTTGGTACGTATTTTGAGTCAATTCAGTACGAATGCTTCTTCCAAAGCCTAGATATTTGTTATTTGTAGAATACAGCTTTTCCTTTCTTTGAGGTGCCCATTTCCACATCTTAAATCATAAACATCAAACACACATCAACAGCTTATTCTTTATATATACCCTACATTCCTTTAATACTGAGAAAAAGAACATTGCTTCCAAGCTGAGCCAGAAAACAGAACTACATATATTCCAAATGTGAAGTGAGGGAAATAGATTCTTGTTCAGGAACCTGTCCAAAATGAATTGAACGTGGTACAGCTGCAACATAATAAAAAGAAATCTTGGACTCCATGGCCAGCCTTTCCTCTGTATTACAGCCTATGCCAGAGTTCTTAACTCTTCACATGCTCCTTGGAAAAGTCAGTACATTTCCCATCCAGCCTCTGAACTCAGAAACCAATAGAAGGAGGTTAACAATTCCCAAAGCCTGGACTACATCCTCAGCTCTACAGAACTGATATAGTGCCACTGAATTCAAGTGTACATCAATGAAGTCAGTGGAACAACACCAAACACAGGATACATCTTTCTGATTTTGGAGATGCTTCTATAGCATTAAAATCAGAGACTTCCAGAACCAGACTTCAAGGATGGCAGCAGGCAATGGTTTGTGTGAGTTTCAGAATGCAAGATGACTGATTGACATCACTGGCTATGGCACAAGTTACAACACAGGCAAAATAAGGAGATAAGTTTCGTCAACTTGCAGACTCCTGGGTTTTATTCCCCACTTGGTACAAATTACCCTGAATATTGTAAGAAAAAATGTGTACAGATTGGGAGATATAGAAATGTGTTGGAATAGATTTGAAAAGCAGGTAATGTACCTCACTGAAAAGTTACCTCAACAGGTTATGGAATAGAAATCATAGGGCAAAGGACTGCAAGAGGCCTCATAAGTCATCAAGTCCAATCTACTGATATTGCATGCAACCTCACCATATAATCCCATTGGTTGTTTGCCTCAATGACACCTCATTCTTTGAGCCATTAGAAACCTTTTTCTAATTTCCATTCAAATTTGTTCATGACTACTTCATATTCATTTGTTCTTGTATTAACATCATACTTTCTCTTAAATAGTTCTCTCTCCCTGTTTTTTACTTCCCCGATGTATTTATAGAGGACAAGCAGATTCCTGCCAGCCTGCAGTTTACTAGGTTACACACCACTCTCTCTCTTTCAATCTCCTGTTTTTAGTCGGACTCTCCATTCCCTCAGTCCTCCGAGCAGCTCTTTTCTGCATCTGTTCCATTGGAATTCATCTTTCTTGAACAAAGCTAACTAGAATTATACACAGTATTCTAGATCTGGTCTTACCAGAGAGACTTTTGCAATGGCATTCATAGTTCCCTAGCTTTACTGAAATTACCTTACCTGATACATCTTGTGATCGTATTTGCTTTATTTACAGACATATCATGCTGGTGGCTCATAATCATTCTGCGATCAGCTAGAACACCGACACCTTTTTCCTCAGCTCCTTCTTATTTCCAGCTGATGAGCTCCCAGTTTATAGCAGAAATTCTTATTAAACTGTAGGTGCATGATTATTAAATTTCATCTCATTTCTACTACTACATTTTCCTTTTTTTCTTATATAATATCCCAGTTATCTGGTGTACTAACAATGCCTTCCTTAGTGTCTTCAGCAAATATCATTAGCACATACCTACTTTTTGTGCCAAGGTCATTAATGAAAATATTAAATATATCCTAAGACAGATCCTTGAGGCCCTAGTAACTTCCTTCTAGACCAATAGTTCTCCATTCAGCCCAACACACTTCATCTTCCCTTTAGTCAGGTCCTTATCCTTCTTATAATTCTTGTACTAATCCCCATCTGCTCCATCTTAACTAACTTTTTTTTCATGTGGTACCAGTTGAAATGCTTTACTGATATCCAGATGGATTAGATCTAGTGAATTTTTCTTGCCTAAAAATTCAGTTATCAAAGAAAGATACATTTATCTGGCATGATCTACCTTTCATAAATTCCTTTTGAATTTTCCATTTACCTCTATGCTTTATTATTCTTTACTTCAAAAATTATTCTACTTGCATACTCTTGAAGCAACATTAACATGGCTGTGGCTGTGCAGTTCGCTCCCTAAATATTAGGAACTATTCTTTAGTCAGACTCTCCATGCCACTGCAGCTGATTTGATAGAATCACATAAAATCTTCAAACTTCAAACACACTATTGCATGCTGTCGTGGGTATGGAAACTTTCCTGAATATGTTGAGATGATTTGTTTCTTTAGCATATAGATATTTAAAAAAAAAAAAACCTTTCCAGTCAAAAACATTACTCAATGTTATGCTAAAAAATGACTTACCGTAGTATGTTACATTGGAAGCTGACAGGAGTAAGATGACACCAACTATGCAGCAATATTGTACTGTACAAAGTCTCCATTACAACATTTAGCAAGTTCTATAAAACATGAAACTTCATTTATTTCAATGTTTTCCATAATAGTTCTTTTAACGGATTGTCTCCCCTGAATAGCCTCTTGATATTTTTATTTGTCCTTTTTTTCTTAATAAACAATCTGTCCTTGAAGCTTCCTTTGTTTTCATTTTCCAAACTGTATTTTAAAATCAAATGTAAAATATAATCTTGTGTGTGGATGATAAATCAATAGCAAATATCTTCCATTATGCAAACAAAACTATTGGGCAAATTTCATATACCACAGAATTAACTCCTTTTTTACTGCAACTTTTAATTAGGAAAAATGGTCACAGAATCCAAAAGATCAAGTGATATGGGGATTCAGAAACATGTTAAGGCCTAGAGCAGCCACACAAGGCTAATGTCTGTAAAGGCACAAGTGATCTTTTATTCCTAGATAATTACCTCTACATTGTAACTAGATTATAGCTCTGCTTGGAAAAAATTTGAACTCCTGGCAGTCAAATATCATCAAAGAATGCAAACTCCCAATTTGTCTGTGTCTGTGTGTTTTGTTTTTGTTTTTTTAATATACGTCTTAGTCAATTTAAAGTTATTTAAACAGATGTCATCAACTTTCTTATGCTCTCGTCCTTATTGTGGCCTATTCACATGCCATCTCTCAAATTAGCATCTTAACCTGTTCCTTATTGGGTGTTTTTTATTTATTTGTTTATTTCCTCTCATGTTCAAAAACTTTTGACTGTGACTTTTATGCAGAGATGCTGCTCATAAAGATCCGAACTCCTGGCAAACATAGTTCTTCCAAGAATGCATACTCACTGCCATTTAGCCATTAGGCTTGCAAGGAGGACTGAGCAAATACGCCACTAAATCGATGGGCCAATAGAATCTTTAAAACTGTTCCAACAGCAAGAGCTAACTGAGCTGTTGAAAGCATAAGGTAACACTAGAATTGAAATAACTACATATTATGACCTCATGCTGAATGTGGTTGTTTTATTTAGCTAGTTTTGGGGGGTGGATTGAAATGTGTTTAAGCCAAGGATTGATTATTAAGGACAAAGGGATGGGGGGAGCATGGATAGAGCTCCCAAAGGAAGATATTTAAATTGGCATGAGTCAAGATCAAATATTTTACATGCCTTTTATTTTCCCTATGGAATCAAGATGGCTGGGAGTGGAAGTGGGGGAGGAAGGAAAGATCACACCCTAAAAAAGTAAATTAGAATTTTATTTCTTTTGAAAAGTTGGGAGACAGAGAGAGAGGGTGAGGTCTCCGCTGACTTTATTCAGACTCTCCCTTGGTTTATAAGACTGGCAACTTCTATTTTTAAAAATCAGACTGCTTTTCAGGCAGGTTTTTTCAACGTTTTCTTTTTTTATGGGGTTTGGAGAAAGATCCTGGCTAGAAATGTCCAGAAGAAAGTGTTTTCAGTCTTTGGAGGTTAATAATTCCTGGAAAAAACTTCTGGCAAACTCCACCTCACTGAAATTTCACAGAAAATGTTTGTTTGAATTTGAACAGTTTAAATGAGTTTCTTGTGTTTGTGTCTTTACCTAGTGGAAGTATGAATTGTGTGTTGGTTTTTACACATAAAGTTAAGCAACACTGCCAACACATACAGCACTCTTCTCTCTGAAATATTTTATTTATTTACCCTGGAGTCTGAAGACAGCTTAGAGACATGTCTCTTGCCAGTGTATTTTGCAGTGGTATTTGTAGAGTTGTCCTCTTTTTTTAAACTTGGTTTGCATTTATTTCCTAGACTCATGCAGAGATGTAATTTTCAGTAATACGTCTCTTAAATATGTTTAATATTGCTGCCATTCGCATGGTAACCAACGTGGCAAGCAATCTTCAATGGAAGAAGCCTCGCAGGACTGCAATGTTTAGCAGGCCCAACACCTACAAATTTCAACAGGAATTTACTGTTATAACCTTTGGTTAAAAATAAAGAGCAACAACCTATTGCTTTATATGTGGCAGACTGGCTTCCTGCAGTGACTCATTCATTTTCTACTCTGTTCAGTTTCTGAAAAAG